GCCTTGTGGCACACCCGCCGTGATCCGGATTGATTTCTCTCCCATGTCCGTCTCGTAGACTAGAACCCGGTTCTGGAAGTAACTCCTTATAATTCTACACAGGTAGTCAGGAACCCTCATTCCATGCAGTGCTTCGGTGATGGCCTCCCAGCTGGCGCTGTTGAATGCGTTCTTCACGTCGATCGTTATCACGGCGCAGTATCGATTTCCTCTCCGCTTCTGTTTGGAAGCTTTCTCGGCTCTGTCAATCACTATCCGGATTGCATCCACCGTCGATCTCCCTTTCCGGAATCCAAACTGCCTCTCCGACAATCCGTGTTCACTCTTCGTGCATTTCGTCAGCCTGTTCAGGATGATCCTCTCCAAGAGCTTTCCGACAGTATCCAGCAAGCATAGTGGCCTACACGATGCAGGATCCCCCGGTGGTTTTCCGGGCTTCGGCAACAGCACAAGCTTTTGTACCTGTTTCCTATCAGGGAACTGACCCTCGTCCAGACATTTCTGTAGCACCATCCTGAACATATCCGGGAACGTCTGAATCGCCGCCTTCAACGCCACGTTGGGAATTCCATCCGGGCCGGGAGCTTCATTCGTTTTCAACCCTTTCGCTGCTGCTATGAATTCCTCGTTGGAAACTTGTTCAACGTTGTCTTCATCTACCTCGCCATATGGTGTAGGTGGCCAGTTCGTTGGGTCATGCTGTGGGAAAAGTCCCTCCACGATGACTTTCAGCTTGTTGGGGCACATTTCAACCGGGATCGCTGGACCTCTGATCTTCGCCATCGCGACTCGGTATGCGTTGCCCCAGGGGTTAGCATCGGCGTCGCGGCACAGCTCATTGAAACTATTTGACTTGCTCAGCTTTATCTTTCGTTTCAGTGCAGCCCTGGCCTCTCGGAACACCACCCTGCGCTCCTCTCTGTCTGCTTCCGTTCTTGCTCTCTGAGCACGCCATCTGGCTAGAAGACAAGTAGCACGGAGGGTGCTAATTTCCTCGTTACACCAGTAAGCTGGACGCCGCCTATTCGTTGGCTCCAGTTTTCTCGGCATAGTTGTGTCACATGCCCTTGCTAATAATTCGGTCAACTCGTTCGCGCTTAGGCCCGGGACGTTGCTGTCTACCCTTAGAGCTTCGATGAAGAGATCCTTATTGAATGCTTTCGTCTTCCACTTCCGCTCGCTTACTTTCGTCCTCCGCATTTCCACCGGTGTCCGTTCGCCGATACTGTATCGGATCGCCTGATGGTCACTATGGGTGTACTCCTCGCACACTGTCCAGTTCATATTTGCCATTAGCGACGTACTGCAGAAAGTGACGTCGATAATGGATTCCCTACCATCTTTGCGGAAGGTTCCAAAGTTGGCGTTCAACTTTGCCAGAGCTTCCAGCAGGCTATACCCCAATCCACTGCCCAAGCATTGAAATCTCCTGCGATGACGACTGGTCTCCATCCAATGAGCTCTCTGGTGAGCCCACTTAGCATCTGGTGGAACTGCTCAATTGTCCATCTCGGGGGTGCGTAGCAACTACATACATAGATTCCATTGATTTTGGCGATCACGAAACCTTCGTATGAGCTTGCCACCACTTGTTGAATGGGATACCTGCCCATGACTTGTATGGCCGCCATTCCTGCTCTATCTGCCACCCAGTTACCATTATCGAGAGGGACTCGATACGGTTCCGCAATGATTGCAACGTCGCACTTTGTTTCTGTTGTCGACTGCCACAACAGTTGCTGAGCAATGTCGCAATGATTGAGGATTATTAGGGTTACCTTCATTATTGCTGGCCCACCATCGCCTTTTTGAACTCTGGGCACCTGAAACTTCCCGTCACATGGCCGTTTCCGTCCTCTTTTTTGCAGAGCATGCACCTCGGTTGCTTTGTACAGTCTTTTGCAACGTGCCCCTTCTCTCCGCATTTCCTGCACAGATCAGATCTGTCTGAGCATTTGCAGTTTCTCGCCTGGTGACCGAAGCCCATGCATTTGTATACATTTTCTTAGATACCCGAGGAATAGCTTTCAACGGGCACACTGACCACCCAACCTTGATTCGGCCAGTCTTCAGCAGCTCGTTAGCTGCGTCCGAAGAAAGTCGTATCGACGCCGTCTGCGTGCCACCATACGCCTTTCTCAACCGAATTGCCATCGGTACGTCTCCCAGGTTGCATTGCACCTTCAGCGCACTCTTCAACTCGTCGTCTGTTGTGATCTCGTCCAGATCCCTGCACTCGACCTCTGACTCCTGGGATAAGGCTGTTACGTTCGCGTCCTCGCCAAGAGATTTTTCGACGAGTTCCTTGAAGGCTGAACTCCTCACCGACAGGTCCTTCTTCTACTCGAAGAGCATCTCGCCTTTCTGGGTGCGCCTGGTTTTCACCACGCTCTCGCCCAGTTGCTTCAACTCCGGATCCTCTCTCACTTTCCGGAGGAGTGCTGCGTATGTTGTTTTATCTTTCGCCTCGATAACCAGAGCGTTGCCCTTTCTTCTCTCCCTACGATGCCAAGGGGTTTTCCTTCTTCTTGACTTCCTTCTTCGTCTCTTCCGTCTTCTTCTTCTTCTCTTCCTCTGCATTCTTCTTTTCCTTCTCCTCCTTCTTCTTCTGTTCCGTCTTCCTTTTTTCCTCTTCCTTCAGTTTTTTCCTCTTCTCCTTCTGGTTTTCGACTTTACGCCAATCATTATCTTCTCCATCTTCTTGCTCCTTGTCCCCGTATTCGTCGTCCTTGTGTTTTTTGGGGTCCTCTTCGTCTCCTGGCGTTTCCCTATCTCTTTTTTTCGGACGTGGGTTCGTTGGTCCCTTCGGCGTCTCCTGCGCTACAGCCAGCATTGCATTCTCCTTGGCCTCAAGCAGAGCCTTTTCGGCCGCTTCGGCTCTTCTTCTCCATTCTTGCAGTTCCCGATCTGCCACAGCTATGCCGGATTTGATGACCGTCGCTAGTAGCTTGACCTCCTTGTGTATGTTGTTCTTATCCTTCACGAACACATAGAGTTCTTCGATCTTCTTCCTAACCTCCGTCATTTTGGTTCTCCCAAGCTGCAATTCTTGCTGTTTGCCACTGCTGGATTTCAGTGTGAATATTTGGCATGGCACCGCACCTAGCTGCTCTCCTTGGGGTCCATGCTGTTCCACTTGGGGTATGCTACTACTGGAACTCGCTGTGGTCACCTGGTTTGACGCTGGTGATCTCTGCAGCTTTCCGCTTCTTGCGAACACGTTCTCTCCTCCGTTTTCACTATCTGGCGTCTTGCCGTCGTCCTTCATATTTTTTTGGTTTTTTCGTTTTCGTCTTTTTTGTTTTTTTTTTTTTCTCCAATGTTGTCCATTCTGATGGGTCCCCCCTCCGGGCCGCTATCTCCACTCGTTGTATGTAGTCTCCTATCGTGATCTCATGGTTATCTATGCAAGCAGGGAGGCCATGCTAGGGTTGACACGGTCCTTCATGGGGGCCGTGTTCAGAGCCAGATCGGTGTAAGTCAGGAATGTTACACCTGAGCCTACTACTCGCCAATCACCAATTGGTGACGAGTTTTGAACGTATCCGGAGGCCTGCCAAGGTTTTACCGGGACGGGGGCAGCCGCACTATTAGCCCACTCGCCATTTCAAGAAGGTGTCACCCTTCTTTACTTAGGGAGCAGAATAGCACGACTGTCAGCCCTGTAGCGTGGTATCCAGTCCATTGTGCCGTGTCGTGTCCATAGTTCCATGCCGTGTCCAGTATGCCGTAATAAGGATCTTACTAGCGTCGATCCTAATGTGCCGGTTGGCACTCCTGCGGGTTGACGAACCATTTCCTCTATCGCCGTGTTATGTGCTCATGTACTTGTCGTACTCTCAACGCCAGTTGCCACACTCCGGACAGAGGGGTGCCGCTGCGTGTCCTAAACGATGCAGGTATTTCCTGAAGCATGTATCCATCTACCGTTACCCGCCGTGTTCCACTCCTGTTGGCACTTAGCCAATGACTCCACTCTCACAACTTCCCGTACTCTTCCGGCTTCTCTCCGCCTGTAGCACTCGCTGTCCTCCACTCCGAAGAATCCAAAAAAAAACTGTGTACGTAGTTAATGAACAGCCCCTAACAAAATTCCTTCAAATTTGGTACAGTTGATGGGGACATCATTTCAGATCGAAATATCTATTCAAAATTGACCCACCTTAATGTAAAAATGTAAAAATGTATTGCTTGGTTCAAATCCAAATATCTGAAATACATCTCAATATATTATATATTATATTTTGATGAATTTAAGTGTATTTGATGTACATTTTGAATAATTGATGACATTTTGCGCTCACTTGCGCATTATTTATAAAATTCATTAAGAAAATCATGTATTTTTTTTAAATATCATGGGATAAATATTTTCCAGTACTGATGCATTGAAAAAGTTTGTTCCGCCATTTTTGCGGCCAAAACAGGAACTATTTCTATCCTTGTAACGCGTAACTTTTCTCAACGAACGAACGACCAAGCGTTACATTGCTCAGTCCCCGAAATACCGGAAATAGTCAGTTTTTATCAAACCTGCAAACGACTTATGCACCTTACCAGAGGTCGAAAGAGGAACTTATTTCAGGGATGCCCGGCCTTAAACTCCCAATCTGCGGGCGAGTCAATCGAAACTTCATACAACCAATAATCTTACTCAAAATCAGTTACGAGAAGCTTCAATTTTAATTAAAAACGAACCTAAACTACTCTCATGGAAGCGCACAACCGAAGTGTTCATTTAGAATATTTATTTGAAACGCGATTTCAAACGTTTGAATTCAATTTAGTGGATCATTCGAAATTCTTACCCGGGGTTTATTAGAACCAGTCTAATCTAATAAATGAGCTCAAAGATATCCTACGCAGTGATCACTGACGTGTTTTCATAACCCTTTACCATTCATCGGCCGGGCTGGTGCTGTCGGAGTGGCTCCTCTACGAAGAGACGAACTCTACTTCTGCTACGGATTGATTTCCAGGCTAAACGAGAACCATTAGCGTTACGCGCCGCCTGATGACTCACTTTCTCTCGAGCTTCACGACGAGAGGTTAGAATCGAAATAGGGGATTCTCGATCCCAACCAAACTCCCACGTTAATGGGGACCTATTAACGTGTTCAAGGGTCTAACAAATTGCACAATAGAAAAGTTATCGACTTATTTTTCCTACCTGGTTCTAAATTCTACTAATGTTCACTTTTTGCTTACGCAATTCAGTAAAGTAAACTATAATACATAATCTAATTCATTTTGAGTTCAAATGCTTTTTAAATAACTCACTTTGTTCTAGGCCAAAAATTCACCACTAAACCAATTCAAACTTTCTCCACGATTTCAAAAAAAATTCCGCTTTATAAAAATCAAACTGAACAATCTAAACACTCCAACAAAAGTGATTTGAAAGTGTTCTGGATTAATCCTTTCAAATCCACCAATCAAAATTATTTGCGTCGTTTAAATCAAACCCAAAGACAAAACGTAATAGCGGTTGAGTGAGGCAAATTCATTTTATTGCGTCGTGGGAAAATTAAATAAAAATTTCTCTCTCGATCGCCTACACACTGGAAGATCAATTCGAGCAGTTTGGGATGGTACAGTGTTGGTAGGGTATCAAGTTGCTTAAGCGCTATTATTATTTTCCTACAAGATTTATTTCCTTGCCCATTGGGCAGTGGAACTGAATGAGAAGAAAGTCCATCACTCTGGCACCACTGCCCTGCATAGGGCAGCACAAACACAAAGGTTCAACTCCATGAAGGAAGAAGTGGGCGTGAATAATTAACGCTAATTTCTCAATAAGAGATAAGAAGGAGGTAAAACTTCAAACATTTCCGCGACCCCTTTTTCCATCAATTGTCCGATCTTCATTTTTTTCCCCCCAACCTGCCCCCCCGGCGATAAACGCACTCGACCCAGAATCGATGCTACGCTCCGCTTCGGAGAACCAGCAACTTTTAATTAGGTTGACCTTTCGCACACCGATTTTTCCTGGCGCGGCAAGTACAATTGTACCATTTTAACTTGGGAATTTCCGGCTTTCAGGGCTAAGTTATTTGAATTCCTTCGACGCAAGTCGAATTGTCAAATTACGCAACGCCCCATTCCTTCCTTCCGCCGCCATCGCGACCTTTGCTCTGCGTGGTATTCCAATTAATTTCACCAAACGTTCATTATTTTCTGCTTGCTCTCCGCTGAAATTAATTACTGAACATACGTACTTGAAGTCTTTCCGTGATGGTGGGGAGCTTCGTTCTTCTGGCAAAAGAAACCGCACCGTGGGAAGGGGAAAAAAAAAGAATCGAAAACAAAAAAGAAACTCGCTTTTCTTGAGGTTCCTCGCGCTCAAAATAGGCTTCTTCTCTGTCAACGACAGACTCGAGGCCCAGTTCTGTGCACCGGAAATACATAGGGGGTGAAGAGGAGTCTCCTAAAACAAACGCCCCATTAGGCCCATCTACGACGAGTGAGTGAATGAGTGAGTGAGTGAGTGAGTGTGTTTGTTTCGCTCACGAACCGGCGGAGAACAAGCGATGGAACAGCAGCGCATGAAAAAAAAATGTCAGAAAGAAGATTGGATAATAATCCTTCCGATTAATTTTCTCCTCGAGAACAATTTTTAATTATAATTTTTTTTCAGCCGTCGCAGTTGTTTTTCTTCTGGCGCCTGGGCCGTTATTGTGGGCGCTATGAGTACTTTGAGAGCTTTGTTTTCGCGGAAAAGTGCTTTCCGTGGGAGGAAAACGATGATCTTTTAAAATGCGCTTGCAATGCGGTTTACGGTTGTGTAAATTACTGAATCTACTTACGTGACATTCAATGACTTTGGCAGCTTTCGGAAATGTTGGAAAGTTTCGTAAATATGCTTAACGTAGCAAATGATGGTAAAAGTTATGATTCTGAGCAAACATCACCCCAAAGTGGAACGAGTGGAGAGGATCATCGACTAAATCACCCTGCGCTTGGATAATTCGAAGAAAATAGTTAGCCTCACTTCTTCTTCTAAAAAACATCAGCTCTTGTGATTGATCCCTCTCGGAATATCGGAAAAGCAACCCGGAATAAAATGCAAAAATACCGCCCACCAAAATTGTTCAACCCGCCAAAGTAACCCATTCATGCATTCGATCCCTTCCTGCCTACTTTGTTTTTATTTCGGGGAGTCCCGCTGCATCGTGGGTCGTAATTTTCTCGACAAGCACCCACCATCAACGAAAAAAAAATGGAAAAAAGGAAGGATTCATAATATTTGCCAAGGCCCAAATCGTACGGCCTATCAATCATCGTTTTCGTCTTCGTCGTCGGCGTCGTTTGCCAGTAAATCCTTCTAATACACTAGTCGCTTAGTGCCGGAAAGGGACGAAAAACAAAGCGCCTCGTTAAAACCGTACCGGGGCTGGTGGGCTGGTTGGGTAGCAACCAACCGCGCGGGAGATGGAACTTCGGAGAAAAAGGTTTTGGTTGTTTTCGTTTTGTTTCTTTCGGAACTCCATCTATCCGGCTGATGTGCGCGTAATTTAGGTGCTTTACACCCTTAGCAGGGGAGGGATCAGGCTTAACTTGTTTACGTATGTTTCGGCAGAGACGTGATGCATACCCTCTTCGGCGTACTAATATGGGCACGATTTGCGGTAAGAGCTTATTAAAAATGGGATTTTGCCGAGGAATAAAGGTGGTAATCGGTCGGGAGATTTTTGGAAGAATTGCACCAGAATTTTAATCCCATCATTTTGTTGATCCTGAGATTGACAGACACGTAAGGACGGGGAATCAGGCGAAAGGGATATGTTGAGTAAAAAGCTTACAAAAGATATAATTGTTAAACTGACTTAATCAAAGTGAAGACTGCCTTTTCAATATATTTGCGATCTATTATACGTAGGACTACGTCTGTGATTTCTATATGGGTGTACACTTTGTGAAAATCGAAAATTGAACATATAACAAAATTATGAAAGATTTTGAACGCTAATAACTCAGCTTCCCCTGGAACAATTTCAATAGTTGTATCACCAATCAATCAGAAATATTTCTACGCATCTGTTAAACTTAAGATTTTATCATTTTTCAAAGTGTCAATGCTGAAAATTGCACGAATGTGCAATTGTTGCTATGATGATTAAAATTATCATGGATTGACTGCGAAAAGCAATTTCCCTAACACAGATTTCAAAGTTTAATTTCATCCGGTCTCCGGATTTTGTATAGCAAAGGAATGGCCGCAACCCTGATATTGAGAACTTTCATTTAGCCTAGTACTAATCTGAACGA